ATCCCCTGAGCCAAACCAGCTAGGGTGAATGAGTTGTTTTATAGTTAAAAAAAAAAAAAAAAAGACGACAGCTATCTCACTTGGAGGCACTGGTTAAACTGGATAGAGCTTCTTGAACTAGGTTGTATAATAGCCACCAATTCTTGTTATCGTTATTGTTATTATAAACCTGCAAATGTTACCTTATGTGAAAAAATGGTCTTTGTAGATGTGACTAAATAAGAATTTTGGGATGGGGAGATTATCCTGGATTATCTAGGTGGGCCCTAAATCCAATTACAATTGTTCTTATAAGTGAGGCAGAGAGAGATTTGATACACACAAAAGGGGAGGAGGCAGTGTCTGACCAATAGACAGAGATTGCTGTGGCCACAAGAAATGGGGCAGCCACTGAAAGCTGGAAGAGGCAGAAATGAATAATTCCTTACAGCTCCCCATCTCGGTCCTAGGGAGCACAGCCCTGCCAACATCTTGATTTCTGACCAATAAACTGGTGTCAGACTCATAGCTGTGAGAAAATAAATTTCTGCTTTTTAAGCAACCAAGTTTGTGGTAATGTGTCATAGCGGCTTCAGAAAACTAATATACGCATCTCCTTCTAAATTGAAGCATCAAACAATTCTGTGCTTCCACTTCAATGTGTTTATGATGAAATGACATTCTTAAATAGGTTTCTGGACATCCCTAGGTTGTCTTGTTTTTTTTATTTTTAACTGAGGTTACATTTCTATGAAGTTCTGCTTTGCTGGCATTACCCTTTATATATGTTGGCTGAATATAGTTTCAGGATAGGAGGCGGAATGGATACTATAATCAGCACAGTAGCACCATAAACTCTAAAAGCCTGCCCTCAGCCTCAACTTCAACTGATTTTCATTAACTTCACTTCTAAATTCAGTCTTTTAGTTCTACCATCAACCTTAATTCCCAGCCTCACACTCACATTGCAATCTCCCTTTCCTTTTAGAAAGATAAAAATGACCATTCTTTACTGGACATGTGCATTTTGGTACAAGGTGGGAGCTTTTAAGAAGAAATTGAGATTACATGGAAGAGATGGAGTTCAAAGCCAGGTTTATCTAATACAAATGTTCCTGCTCCTTCCACTGCCTTTCGCCTTTGGGATTCTGCCTTCATGTTTTGGAGTCTTCAAAATCAGAACTCTACCTAAGTATCTCCCCCTTTTCTTCCCGGTCCACAGGAAGAACATTATTTGGACAGGAGAGCCAGGAGCCAGATTGTGGTTTCCGTATTCTTCTTCAATGCACTATAAGGGACCAAATCAGAAGGAGGGAAACATGTGAAAGATGAGCAAAGAGTTTCTCTTACTTCTTCAGAGTTCCTTAGTCAGGTCCCCTGGCTATAAATAGTTACAGGTTATCACTCCAGGGAGGATCTCACATCAACTGTCCACGCTACAAAATAATCTGAAATCATTAGCTTGCACAGTGCTTTTCCTAGGTCTTGGGAAAGTGAGCTGGCCATTCTGTTCACAATTGGCTACGAACTACCGTAGAGTCTCAATTTATTTCAGATATATTTATTCACTACAAATTTCAATTTATCAGCATAGTTATTGCACAGCCATAACTAATACAAATACCAACCTCCCTCCTAAATTCATTCACAGAGATAATTCAAAGACTGTAGAGAACAGGAGAGAGGAAGAGAGAGCTATTGCTCAATTGCCTTCCATAGGTGGTCAGGGATCGAACGCACAACCTAGATACATGCCCCAACTGGGAATCAAACCTAAAGCCTTTTGGTGTATGGAACCATGCTTCAATTAATTGAGCCACCCAGCCAGGGCAAGGCACAGTCTCTTCACTGTCTAACCTCCAATCTTTAAGGTACAATGGAGTTCCTTGGTAGGTCTGGTACAGAAGACCCTCCGTTTTTCTCCATTCTTCCTTTTTATTTTTTCATGTCCTTCTACCCACCCCTGTCCAACACTCATCACAACCCTCATGCTGCTTATCTCCATTTCCACTACCACAGCCCTAATTTAGGCTCTTATTAGTTCTCACCTGAACCATTGCAATCCCTTTCAATAGCTTCCTTCAATTAATTGAAAAACACAGTCGCATGCTGATTTTTCTCAAGTACAGCTCTGATCACCTGTCTTCTTGGGACCTCAATCTTTAAATCATTCTCCAGAGTAGTCTAATCTAAGCAGCCAGCAAACACCATCCTTAACAAAGTCTTAACCCGTTTTTCAACTTTCCTACCATCCTCCTTCTTTAACACTATCATTGGTTTTCAAACTTTGGTGTGACTCAGGATCACCCTTGGGGCTCTCACTAAAAATATGCATGCTTGGGCTCCACCCCAGAAATCTGATTCAGTTAAGTCTGGGTTTACCCCAGGCGTTTTTATTTTTTGTGTGATGTTTTTGATGGAGGACATTTATATTGTTGTTTCCTCCTGGTGTTGCTAACTCACCAATTTTTGAGAAACACTACACGTTTCAACTTCAAATTTGGTCAGCTCCCCCCATACATGAGATTTAATTCGGTAATTATTCCTTCTCCCAGAATCTCCTAATTCTCAACCACCCCCCACCCCCACCCCATCTTTCAAGACCCAGATTTAATGCCATCTCTTCCGGGAAGTCTTTCCTGCTCTCCTTCACACTTCTTTGATATTTAGCTGCACTTTTCTTGCGGCACCTCTTGTTTACTTAGGAAGCATCCAAGAGCCCGACCAGCCAGGAAGGTCGCTCTGGACAGAGAGGGGCACATTCATCCAAGTCCATCCCAACCCCTAGCCCTCACGCGGCCAGGCGGACAAGTGCAATAAACAATGTTGGTTCGCTCCATCAATAGTTCTTCCCCGAAACGGAAACCCAGGGCACAACTGCCTCCGACGAAACCACCGGGATAACCGTCGTCCTGAGGTCCGAGAGCGGGCGAGAACTCCTCCGAGTCTGTTGTAAAACGCCTGCCCCAACCCTGAAGATGGAGCCGCCAGGAAACTAAGTGACGGAAAAGGGGGTTCCGCCCCCCGGCCCGCGCCACCCCTGACGTTCGCCTCGCCCTCCGATTGGTTGCTCCTTGCACATGACCCGCTGGCCGCCGCGGGATTGGTTGTCTGGCAGAGGCCGCAGTGGGTGGTGGGATGCCGGCGGACCCTGGAGGCGGAGGCCGGTGGGAAGCGGGAGCTGTTGTCCTGGAGGGAGGGCTGGGAGGCCGGCAGTCGGCACCGTGAGCCTTCGCCGGCTGGGCAAGCCTCCTGGGAGTCTAGGGCGTAGGAATTTTAGGATTTTTCAAATGGGGCTTAGGACTCCTGGCTCCGGCCTTACTCGACTTTCCCCACAAGGACGGCTTCTCTGTCTTCCTTGGAGTTGGTGGGGTTTGGACCGTTATTTTTGACGGTCCCCTGTGTGTAAGCACTGGTTATCCTGCGCCGGGCGCCGTGCAGAGCGCCATGAGGTAGAAGGGGGCGGGGGATGCAGGAGGAGGGTTTAGAGATGCTTGTGATGTGGTCCTTACCTACGTGACGCGTTGGAGGTAAGTCGGCTGATGCCTTTCTAATCTAGCAGTTTAGGATTTAGTAGGGAGGGTCGTGCATTGACTGAGTTTATTGAGCCGCTTCCTATGCACCATTCTGAGTGCAATGGATGCAAAGGCCAGTAAGACACAGTCCTGGTTCTTTAGGAACCCTGTGATGGGGTAGGTGGGGATCGTGAATAAATGGCGTTTGATGCGTGTTGGGGCGGGGGGACTCAGAGGAGGGGATGGATGACTGAGGAGTTAGGGACCACGTAACAGAGAGAGAAGATTACATTTGAGTAAGGTTTTAAAACTGTAATTAGGCGCTCTCCACATTGAAAGGGGCGGGGAAGCATCCCGGATGGCGTAGGGTACTAAGGAAAAAAATTAGGAAAGTATCTTTGTGTAGAGGATGATGAGATAAAGGCTCAAGCATAACCCCTGTAAAACAGACACTTTGTTAGTTTCCCTCTCTTTGTGGAGTTTAGTTGCTAAATGGCAAACACAGACCGATTGTCAGTTTTATGGAAAATCAACCTATTGATACTTATAGATGGCTGAAGCATGTGGGGTCTCCAGAATTGTTAGATACTGTCAATACCATGCTGAAAGGCTGGAAAGGGTGACATGTGATCCTAGCTCTTTTCCACGTCAATGATTGTGTATCACCAGGTGCCATTTAGAATAAATGAAATGCAGTCAGCCTTTTCATTCAGAAATTAATTGTTCAGGTCGTGAATTATCCAGGCTTTCCCTTTTTTCCTTTATCTTGCTCATGCCCTGGAGGAAAATGAAATTAAACCTTATATTTAGCTGATAGTGGAAAAATATAAATCTGGTAATCAGACCTCAGTTGTCCTTCCAGCTGATGTTAATTTGCTATGGACCTTAGGCAAATCATAGCCTCTCTGGGTCTTGGACTCTTAAGATAGAAGATCCTGGTATAACAAATTTATGACCAGTTTTTATCTTTATGTGCAGCATGATTGTAAATCAAAATATATTTTAAATGAACTGGAGGAGTTCCATTTAAATATATTTTAAATGACTTATTATATTAAAAATGTTTTTGAAATTGATACTTGCTTTGGTAAAACCTTGCTATTTAACAAGAATTCTTGCAACTATCCCCTATACTCTTTTTATCTATAATAATAAAAGAGAATTTAGTATAAAAATCCTTTCTAAAGCTTTTGCTTAAGAACTTGTCTCTAAACCCTTTTGCAGGCATCTGAAATTTTATCTTGCATTGTGTTTGAGCTCATTAAAAAAAAAGTTGTTTTTTTTTTTTAAAACTGTAAGTGCTTACCCACACACCTGTATTTCAAAAACAAAAAAGCTCCCCCAAACAAAACTTGTTCAAATTTGCATTTTTGTACAGTAGAGTTACTTAAACCAAAGCATAGTGGAAGATAAGATGGTTGCAATTTAAACTTATCTAAAAAGGAGGCTTTATTTTGTTCATGGGTAAACCTAAGTTTTTTTAGAAGTGAAAATAGCGAGTGAAAATACTTTTAGATAATACAAGGTGGTGAAATGCAATGATGCGATGATGAGTGAAGTATAGTCTGACCTGGTATTGCCATTGCTTCACTGTTGGCTCTGACCAGGGTGTGATCACTTAATCTTCTCTCTGAGCTGAGTCTGGTTATGGTTTTCCCACATTGGTATGTTCTAGCATATTTGGATACTGGTTTTATTATGTATATGAGTATTTCTTTGGTATTTGTTTGAATTTTACTGATACTTTGTTTTTCTTCTTAGGTTGAGGTGAAAACTCTGGCTTTGATACCTTCATGGAGTACTACATTATTTCAGTCCTGAATCTGGTTCCGTTCTCTTATTGACTTATTATATTAAAAATGTTTTTGAAATTGATACTTGCTTTGGTAAAACCTTGCTATTTAACAAGAATTCTTGCAACTATCCCCTATACTCTTTTTATCTATAATAATAAAAGCATAATATGCTAATTAGACCGGATGGCCTTTCAGACGACCTTCCGGATGAAGCTGAGGCAAGCCACCTTGGCTTCGAGGGCCGAGTCCCTTGCACAAATTTCATGCATTGGGCCTGTAGTGATACATAAAAGTGTTAATATTTTAAAATCCATAGGATGTTCCATTTCAGAATTTAGTTTTATTACTTTGGTGCTATTAGAGAATGTTTGTCCTTTGAATTGCTAAAATGAGTTAAAATACTGGGAAACGCCTATCAGCAGAGGCACCTACAAATTACTTTCATCCTTCCTCATCTAGTTATGAGTTTTTTAGCCCATATTTTTTCATCAATTTGCCAATCCAGGCATGAATTTTTCTACATAGGCAACTTAAAGTGTTTTTGTAGTCTTTCTAATACAAGATATTTCGAACAAGGCTGAATGCTGAATTCTTGCTGTTGGACTAAAGGACTTTCCCCCCCAATTATTGGATTAGCAAAAACCCCCACAAAATGTTAATACAAAAATACCCCCAAAAGTCAAAGGTTGTCTGAATGAAAAATTTAAACACCTCAAGTAATCTTTCAGTTTTTGTATAATCATGACCACATGGAACAGTTTTTTGCCAAAAAACATTTATTCTTGAAATGTATTTAAGAGTTTCATAGAAACTTTAGTAATAGCCAGAATTATTCATGCCAGTGTAGCAAACTCTTTTTTAAATATATTTTATTGACTTTTTACAGAGAGGAAGGGAGAGAGATAGAGTCAGAAACATGGATCAGCTGCCTCCTGCACACTCCCCACTGGGGATGTACCCGCAACCAAGGTACATGCCCTTGACCGGAATCGAACCTGGGACCCTTCAGTCCGCAGACTGATGCTCTATCCACTGAGCCAAACCAGTTAGGGCCAGCTTAGCAAACGCGTACTAGCAAGGAGAAAGGGCTTATTAAAAGAGCCTTTCTTTACACATAGATGAGTATTTTACTTCATCTTTTTTTAATATTTATTGATTTTAGAGAGAGGAAGACAGAGGGAGAGATAGAAACATTGATAAAAGAGATTGGCTGCTTGCTGCATGCCCCTCACTGGGGACTTGAGCCTACAACCCAGGCATGTGCCCTGACTGGGAAATGAACCGGTGACCTCTTGGTGCATATGTTGATGCTCAACCACTGAGCCACACCACCTAGGCTTTACTTCATCTCTTCATTGCTTATTAGCTTTGCTTTCTCACCAAAATCTATATATACACTTCACCTTACTTTTCCTTTAACCAGTTTCCCAAGAAAGACTCATAAAGAAATCTTTAAAAGTTGATAAATTACAGCAGACATTACATAACAAATGGGTCACAGTATATAGAAGGAGCTATTGTTTTTCAAGAGTAAGCCCACTTTTCACATTGTAAACTGATAAAACCTCTTCCTCATCGGCAAATGAAAACTTTTCTAAATACAAGGTCTGCTTCCCCTTCACCCACTTTGAGGTCTAACATGGGTTTTTCCTGAGAGCTTCTATACCTCTTTGTTCTTTAAGGAAAAGCTTCTATACTGATTATCCTCTTTTATCCACTTCTATACTGACCCTCAATTCTCTTACTCTAATCAGCTTGGTTAACTTTAAATTGGGGCCTCGAGAGCAGGTTAGAAGGTTAAATCCATGGGTATATCCTTTTAAAGAAATCCATGTAATTTTTAAAAATTCATATAATTATGAATTGAGGCTAAGAAGTACCAAATAATGCCGTTGTACCATGCTGAAAAACAGCCCTGTGGCCTTCTGGGCAATGATTTTCCTTCGAGGTAAGATGCTAATCCCTTTCAGTTGTCAGGGGAGTACAGTTTAATTAGGTGTTGTACTTCTGTTGGATAACCTGTGATGGGACAAGCCTGGTGAGTCCTCACATAACTAAACACACAGCGATAGCAAAACACATAGCCAGAGGTGGCAAGAACAGTATCATTCACCCGGGTTTTACGACACAGTGGGCACACAGTCTTCATTTTGGGTAACAGGGGAGAATCAGAATTGTAGTCTAGGTGTACAGGTGGTGGTGGAGTAGGCAGGGCAGTCAGTGATTTGATGGTTTCTTGATTTTCTGATGAGTACCACCACTCAAGGAATTGCAGGAAGAATACACCGACAGACAGGCCAGTAGAGAGGGATAAGGCAACACCCCCCACAGCTTTTTTCAGAGTTGACTTGATCTTCTCACTAATACTGTTGGGAAATAGAACAAGAAGGCAAAAGGAGAAACTATTTAGGTACAATTGCAGAGTAACTAATATAAACGGAGTTCTCACACTTTTCATCAGAAACACCAATTCAGTTTGGGGAATGACTGGCATTGTCTCCTTAAGGTTGTATTCTAAATGATTCCCTCTTTCTGACTGACAGTATTTTAGGAGCCTAGGAGCAAAGCTTTGTTTTTAAAGACGAGGGTTTTGTTGTGTGTTGAGAAGAAATTAGTGAGACATTGATTATATAGAGCTTTTTGTGTATGTGTGCAAGATAGTATATCCAGAAAAAGAAACAGCTCACTTAAAAAAATTAACTTAGCAGCATTGAGGAATATATATTTAAACTTGTAGGAGAACATGAACACTAACTACAACAGGATAGCATTGTGGTTCAGAGCAGTCGAGAATTGTGTTGATCTGCCTTGAATCTCAGTTCTGCCACCTTCTAGCTGTGTGGCCTTGACAAGGTACTTAGCTGCTAGGGCTTAGTTTCCTCAGTCGTTAAATGGGACTAATAAATGAGTTGTGATGCGGATTGGGATAATGCATATAAAACAAACACCTAGCTCAGGGCCTGGCCATAGCAAGTGTAGTAGTTTTGATGAGGTTGCTTACCAGGATGGCAATCCTTGTTTTATGAACACAGAATTTTTCTATGATTTTATTAAAAAAACCTCAATGTGGACTGAAGGAGGTGATTTCATAAAATTAAAGTAAGATTTTAGAATCTGTTCATCAAAGATTTGGGGGAAATGTTAAGCCTTACCTCCTGGCTGGTTGCTGCATCATGCTGGCTTCAGCTGCTTTGTGCTCCAGGGCTTGTATGTCCTGAACTGTAAGTCGACCCAGCCGGACTCCAGCCAGACTAAGTAGTGGTGAGTGATGCTGAGCTTTTCCTAGGATGTATCGAAGTTGTTGTACAAGAAACCAGCCTTCCCAGGCCATGTTAACAAATGGGTAGGCTGCCAGGAAGGCTCTGTAAAATTGTTTCCAGCGGGAAGAAGGGGGATGGATAGAATATTCATCCTCTTCTCTCAGGCTAGAAACCAGCTTCTCCAGCTTCACTTTCAGATAGGGAAGAAGAACCAGGAACATAATGGACTTCCAGAGCTGCTTCTTGGGGAGACCAGCACTGGCCAGTCTCTGAAGCTTGTGTGTGTCCCCCGTGACAATCCGCTTTAAGCCGTAAAAGTTTTCAGAAAATGAGGCACTGGTTTTAGACAGATAATGCTGCTGGAGCAGAAGATCCAGCAGGGCAAAGATTTCATCAAACCACCTCCAAAAGAAGCCGTAGTGGGCAGGGTTTGATTCTGCAAGAACCTAAAGTGAAGTAGATACTAATAAATGAAATGCATTCCATTTCACAGCTACTATGCCTTATGTTTGCATTCCCCTCACCCCCATACCCTCTAAATTCTACACTTTGAGATTAAAGAGATCACTACTTTTGGGGCTTACCCTATCCTTCCTGCAGTGCTGGGCATTCATTACAGGGCTCTACACCTAACAGGGGTTCAATAACCGTTAAGTTATATGAATAATAGGATATGGATTATGTGCTAATTGGTAATTTCAAACCTAGGCTCCGAGATAAACTCAAATTATTGGTTTGGTTTTTACCCAGTCGTCCCTAAAACCATTTAAAGAATTAATACCGTACCTTGACCACATGCTGAAGAGCAGGTCTCACTGCTGTCATTAAACTGTCCTGTGCTACCACCTCAAAGATGGATGGCTGGTCATCCACCCCAGAAGCAGCTGTGATGTGAGCCCCGTGCTCGGCCATAGTTTTCTGCGTGCACTGGGTTTCACTTTGCCCCTAGTAAGCATGAACTTGTTTGGGGTATCCAATGGGCACTCAGTCTTAAAAGCAATCTTTCTGCAGGATATCCGAAACTCCTAATTCCCAATTTTTACAGGAACTGGGAGAGAAAAGACCACTTCTGGAGGCAGAGGGGACGGGTCTCAAGGAAGAAGGAAGTTAAGGCAGGACGTGGGTGGAAGTGCCGTGTGGGGAAGGGGTGACTTGCAAATGCTGCACCTCACAGGGCAGAGCGTGACCATGGGGGAGAGGCAGGGGCCAGGAGGTCTGTCCTCTCCAGCTGCAGTCGTGGAAGCTGCGGATCGGCGGCTTCCAATCGCGAGGGCTCAAAAGCCGGCCTGTCCTGGGAAATCAGAGGTGCTCGAGCGGGCCGGCACCCGAGGCCCGGCTCCAGCCCCGCCCGCGCCCGTCCTTGCGCGCTGACCCCAGGCGAGGCGCGAAGGACCCACGACGCCACGTTGGACGGGAGGTCTCCGCTTTAGGACAGGAGCCGCACCCGGAAATAGAAGCCGCCGGCGGTGGGCAACTGCGGCGGCGGAGAGGCGCTCTAGCCCCGAACGCGGCCCCGAAACCGGAACTAGAAAACGCTATGACCCACGAGCACTTCCGCTTCCGCCCCCGCGGGAATGAAAGGGCGCTGGGCGATTCCATTAGAGAGAAGTGTTTGTTCGCTTTAGGTAGTTGGGTTCGCGGGCCGTCTCGGTGGGAAACCAGAGGTCTGAGTCTCTGCAGAGGTGTTTTTGACCAGATGTTTGGGGCGCCCACCTCTGGCGCCGCCGGAACTTGGTCCCGCGGGCGGTGGAGCTGGGAGCGGAGGGATGAAGGGAATGCGGAAGTGGAAAGGCTCTCAAGTGCGGGTGCAGCAGGTGTGATGGTGAATTTATATTGTGCGCCTTTTGGGAAAGATTTGATAAAATGATTAGGATGAGAATGGTTCCTGTGAGACCTCAAAATTTGGGAGTTTTGTTATTACATTTCGTCCAAGCTGGTAGTTTACCATAGTCTTATACGTTTGGTTGTATTCTAGCATAAACTCCTAATTACTTTCTACCCTAGATAAAAACGATTCCTATCTTTGTACACGGGAGGGTGTGTCCTATTAGCTATAAGAGTGCTAAGTCGAAGGAATCCTGGTAAGTTCCACCACAGGAACTGGGGAAGCGTGACAGAAAAGGCACTTTTCATTGTGTACCAAAGTTGGTGTCATTTACCTTACGGTTTGCAAAGTGCTGTTATGCAACTTTGCCTCATTTGCATTGCTAATGCAGGTTTATTGAATTTGGATAAAAGTTCAAGTTCGACCTGTCCTCTCTCTCCAGAACTCCTCTCTGACCTCTGGGCTAAATAGGTAGAATATAGAAGGTATTATTCACTGCCCAGAGAACCTTAGGGTATATAGATAGATAACTGCTTTGCATAATGAGAACCCTCAGAAACAACGTTTGGCTTTGGTTATTTGAATAGAAAGCAATAATCTTGCAAGTTAACCTTAATTATACTTCTAAAAGGTGTTCTTTACCAAAATGCCTGCTAAAAAGGCACATTGATAAAGATTTTTACCTTACAGAGCTTAAAGACTAGACATGTATCTATAAAGTACCTGGTACAGGTTAGGTGCTTGATCAATGGTAGCTGTTATATACAAGCTTTCCTCAAGCAAACAACATGCAGGAGGCAACCAATCGATGTGTTTCACATTAATATTTCTCTCTCCCTCTTCCACTCTCTCTAAAAAAAAGTCAATGGAAAAATATCCTCGGGTGAGGATTAAAAAACAACAAAACATACATAGTATCTACACTATAATGGAATTTACAGTCTAGTTGGGGAGGAAAATAATATATAATTTACAAATTGAATAAGAGGGATGGGATAGGAGGGGACCCAGGGTAATCAGGGAATGCCTTTCTGAGGAGAGTGCACTTAAACTGAGACCAAATTATGAGCCAGCCATGTGAGGAGTTGGGCAGGAAGAATATTAGGCAGGAGAAGTATTGTGGAGGCCCTAAGGTGGGAAAGAACTTGGCATATTTGAGTGTTACAATAGCGAGCAAAAGGGGAATATGGAGAATGAGGAGTGACAGAGGCATAAAATGATATTAGAGAGGTAGGCAGGAACCAAACCATCTATGCAGGCACTAAGGGCCACGGGAAGGAGTCTATAGCAATTGATATTATTGACCACTCATTCATTCAACAAATTCTGGGGAGGGGAGGTAGGCCTCAGAAATGAAAGAGTGAACAGATTGATATACTTCCTACTTTCATGAAATTATAAACGCACCCTGAAACATGACTGCCTGCTTTTCCTTCTGCCTCTGATTACTCATTCTTGATCCCTTTCCAAATTTGGTTTCCTCAGCTTCTGCCCCAGCCTCTCTCGCTCTCTCCATATTTTTAAAAAATATACTTTATTGCCGAAACCGGTTTGGCTCAGTGGATAGAGCGCCGGCCTGCGGACTAAAGGGTCCCCGG